ATATCATCATGACTGAACAGACACCCGAGGTATTTAAGCTAAAGATTATGTCCCCATCTTCGTTCCAACTGATGCCCTTTTGGCCAGGCAACATCAAAGCCCGGTTTTGCTACGCCGAAGCCAACTTCTCCAAGCACGGGGTGATCGATACACGTGCACAATTCCTTGCAGTAGTCAAGGCACTACCGTGCGAATTCAACAGGTACGTAACACCTAGTATGTTTACTAGTGATGTTTCTGAACCTTACGAAATGCTGAAAAGTTTTATCCTTAAACGCAGAGACCTAACCGATAGACGAAGGTTAGACCAACTCCTCAATAACATCGACCTGCAACACGGTTCTGCGACGGACATGTTGCAACGAATGAGAGAGGTTATCAGCCAAAGAACCTTCGATGATGGCCTATTTAAACAATTTTTCTCATCCAAACTTCCTCAACAGGTGCAGGCTGTGCTGGTCTCGTTTCAAAACAAGGCCTTAAACGAGCTGGCTGCATCTGCCGACCGCATTTTAGAAATCACCAAATCTTCATACACCGAGGTTTTTTCAGTCAAAGAAAAGCCTCAAACGACTCAGGATGACATTACAGAGTTATGTCATACACTAACGCGTTTCTAGCACTATATTTTTTTTAAAACCACACATAATCCCATACTCTCAGCTCCTTTCTGAATCGCTCCCATTTTTCAGTTGTATGTCTACTCATACCTTGTTTACACTTATTTTCTTTAACCTATTAACATGCTCTTACTTAACAAATACTTTAATAAAAGAAAATTAGACTGGGTAATCATACCTTAAACATCCCTTCATGAATATTGGTCACTCTGCCTCTCGTCCTTTCATTTACTTTCTCCCTCTTTCAGCCCCCTTGTAATATGGAACGGGTGATTTCATCCTGGACCATCCTCAGAGCCTTAGATATTCCAAAGGGACATAAGGTTGTGACTTTTAGAAGCTCCCACCTCCAATGGACCTATCCTTGACCATCAGTGGCACATTCGCAACGCAACTTTCATGAAGCGCGCCAACTGTGATACTGATTAAAACCATCTACATTCATATCTTATAAATTATCAACCCAGCTAAGTAATTTACTACAGTGGATGTTGTATCGTTTGTAACAATTTGATCTTGCCTGTAAACTGGCATGCCTCATGTAACAAACTGTTGTTTGAGAATAAATTATTATTATTATCTCGAATTTCGTAACGACCGTAAACGGTCACACACCCCTCTCAGAAGCGCTTCACGTAAGCGATCTGTCTCTAAACCACGAGAGACGGATAATACGGACTGGTGCTGGTATCATAACCAGTATGGAAAGTCCTCCAGAAACTGCAGAAAACCCTGCAATGTTCCCGACTCAAAACCGACTGACACGAAAAACAACTTGGGAAACTTCCAAGCCGGCACACGTTAACGGCAACCGTAGCGGGAGAACATAGCCGCCTGTTGTACGGCGCAGATGTGACGACGAGAGTTCGCTACCTCGTCGACACTGGCGCAGAAATTAGCGTTCACCCAGCGAATCCCAAAGACCGGCTTCACGAACCGGCTTTAAACTTACAGGCGGCAAACGGAAAACCTATCGCTACGTATGGCAAAAAGCACGTTTACCTTACCGTGGGTTTTCGCAAACCCATTCACTGGATCTTCGTTGTTGCAGATGTTTCTATGCCAATCATTGGTATGAACCTTCTACAACACCATACGCGCAAACGGAGGCTGGTAGACGGAAACACTAATTTATCTGTTCGCGCAACTTCTTTTTCTGGTTGCAGATTATTTCCATTCACAATTAAGCATACGATAGACCCATTTTATTAACCAATACTCGTTAAGTATCCTGGAATGCAGCAAACGCAATCGAAATTGCCGTGTGTAACCAGCAACGTTACACATCACATCACGACCACAGGATTATCTGCATTCTCTAAAGCACGCCGACTAGCCCCCGAAAAGCTAAGGTTGGCGAAAAACGAGTCCGACCACATGATAGACTTAGGGATCATAAGACCGTCAAATAGCCCATGAGCATCTCCGTTGCACATGGTCCATAAAAAAGACAGCAACGATTGGCGTCTAACTGGTGACTATGGGCGACTGAATGCGAAAACCATTCCCGATCGTTACCCATTGCCTCACATTCACGATTTGACAGCTACTTTGAAAGGTACAACTGTCTTTTAGAAAATCGACTTGGTTAAAGCGTGTAGCCGAATTCCCATGGCCACTGATGACATTCCGAAAACAGCTATCATAACTCCCTTCGGACTTTACGAATTTTCGCGAATGCCCTTCGGTCTAAGAAACGCTGTACAAACCTTCCAAAGGTTTATAGACGTTTTTTGCGGTCTGAACTTCGTACATGCATATGTTGACGACTGTTTAATGACAAGTCCGGACAGAGAGTCACATCTCCAGCATCTGTATCTTGTTTTCGATCGACTACAAATCATGGCATTACTGTAAACATTCCGAAATGCCAAATCCGAACTGACTTATTAGACTTCCTAGATCACACTATAGGTGCACAAGGCATTCGACCCTTTAGAACCAAAGTGACGGCCATTCTGGATTACCTAGAACCGACCACGATCAAGCAATTAGAAATGTTTAACGGCTTTTTAAGTTTCTATAGACGATTCATACCGAAGTGCGCGTAACTTATGAAACCTCTTACCGACCAACTCCGTGGAGATGCAAAATCCACCAAGTTGGACGACACCACACTAAAATCATCCTCCACAGTTAAGAAACTTATCGCTCAGGCAACAATGCTTGCTCATCAAGACACTGCGGATCACTGTAATCAACGTTTGCAGTTTTGAACAAGTCCTCTAAAGTTTCTCGAGCAATCACATGTGCCTGTTCAAACAACCGTTTTACAATTTCCTTGGCTTTCTTGTGGCCAGCAGAGGCTTCCAACATAACACACCTCAATATCTGGTTTTGCTTTGCCCCTACAATAATGTATCAAATAAAGCAGGCGTTGACTATCGTCCGTGACCCTTGATTTCACATAGGTCTCAAACTCCCTTAAAAACTTCCAGTAACCTCTTGGTTGGCCATCGAACTAACTTAATTCAACCTTTGGTAACTCTAGACGTACAAAAGGCACCATAGGCATCACGCTTTTTGCTTGCTACACATCTAAACTAAGATTTTTTACGCCAACTGCCATCATATCACAACTAGATTCACTATAATGACAATCGTCCCTACTGGAATATGAACCATGACACATAGAAGCATCAAAAGGCACTTGCTTTGTTTCAAGGGATTCATTCTTTTGTTCATCTCTCTTAACATCCACGAGCCTTGGGCTTAATTTCCTTCGACGATTATTTGGCATCACAAGCGAACGATCAAATATTTCCAGAAACTATAATTGGACTCAACGAAACGAAAGCCAAACGACTTCGACTAATTAATATTTGTTTAGAACTGTAGAATTCAAACTACGGTTTGGACTGAAGAATAGCCGTCCAGGTAGGTTAGACACGCGCCCTTGCCCGTCAAAATCAAAACAAGTAATCGGGTGAATGACGGTTCTATAATTCATCATAAATTTAAATGTAAATCGTTACCTAAACAAATAATACCACCCGGCTATTCGACCAATAATTGTTCAATCAATAAAATCTAAATTACAATAAATAAAGCAGTTGATGAAAGATGAGGGAAAATTACCAGTCACAACAAATGAACGTTATTCTATCCTGACTGGATAGAGCACGCACAAAAGGAGGAAAAAATCAATATGGCTGCCGCCAACAACAAGTATCAAGTAAAACAACATAGATGCAGTTCGGGAAGAAACACAAAAACTTAGTGAAGGCGTAAGAAAAATAAAAACTATAATAAAAAATACAAATATTGACAATTCAAATGTAATCAAGACTAACAATGTGCAACTAAGGTAATCCATAGGAACAAAATGCAAGTGTATACATGGAGGGATTTTCACACACACACAAAACATTCAAAACGGATCTTACAATCCTCTTCAATGAATATGGATCTAACCTCCTACACGAACGGGCTAACAAACGCAATGCGTTCAGGTAAACCTGTTTGCACTCGGCCGCAGTCAACTGATGTTTTTGTTCAACCTGACTTACGATATAGTACATACGTCCTCGTACTTCGAGACTCGCATCGACGACCTTTCGAATCATCATACGAAGGACCTTTCAAAGTTCTTCAACGTAAACCTTAGTACTATATAACTGATAAGAAAGGGAACCAACGATAGCATCAGCATCGATCGCCTCAGAGCAGGGTATTTAGAAGGAAATCCTATCTACCTCCAGTTTCCTTCGGCACAATTGAACGATACGACTCCGATACTTATTATACCTCATCCGACAACCAACACGACATTGGATGCTGACCACATGTTTTAATGGACTCACCTAGCTGAAGGCGCTCGGTCATGCATCCGCACCAGATCACGAGTTACAACGCCGTGCTCAACAAACCCTGCAATCGCTAGCCAGATTAGATCAGACAATCCTCGATATATTGATGACCTACCAAATATGTCTTCGAACCCCCTCGCTTCTGGTTTTTGATTTCACTTGGTGGGTACGATTCATATTAGAAGGTTTTTACTGATTAAAGCGTTGTCAAACTCCGAATATCTGTGATATCTTCACTTTGTTGTTCCAGATTGTAACCTTGGAAATCGCTACTCAGGCTTCGCGTGTAAGAAGTGTGGTGCTGCTAGGAAATAATGTAACGCAACTGTCGATAAAATAAATGCTTGTTATAAATTAACCATTTAAGTGAGTTTGGTATAAGCTGTGACGGGCGCCTAGTGCTTCCTGATTTACAATGATTTTCTGACTTTGATAGGTGAGTATTACTACACAAAACGTAAGCGGGAGTATGGAAATAGGAAATAAATCTACGTATGATGAATGACAGAACAATAACGAAGCTGAAGCAGAATATAGCCGCCTACACAAAACCCTCAACTTATTTAACGTTATGGTTAAACGGAAACTCACCGATAACGTTAGTGACGACGAAACAAACATGGATCGAGAAATTTCGAAGGGATTAAAGTAGGTCCGATTATCTATATAACAATTCTTTACATTAGGAGCATAAATCCCCATTAAAACGAGCTAAACTTTTCTAGTAAATCGGATCTTTTTGATTAACTTATTCATTAGAACTCAGAATTTCAGATTACTGTTTTTTTTATGCATTTCATTTCAACTCATTAAGTAACAAAATTTTGTATTTCTCAGTACTCATTCTAACATGTGTTCATCAGAGAATCAGTGTAGATATGACTTTTTTTGTTACCCAACTAACTCAAAAGCTTTGTAGTAAGAATATTTTGGAACAATAATCTAGATTCAGAACCCTAACACTTTCAAAGCAGACATGAATTCCGGTTTTATTGTTTTCACTCACTTCATTCTGCTTTTAGGTTCCTAACTTCCCTCGGAGACTCCAATTCAAATCAGCGAAATTCAACAGAAGTAAAAACTAAGGATCTAAATCCTGAAAACACTTTAAAGCTTACTGATTTGGAAGAATTGGACAGTGGTAGTGAGGCTGATGATGACGATGATGAAGATGATTTGGGTGATGATAATCGCTTGAAAAATCCGAACGCCGACCCACTCAAAGCAGAAGAAGGCCCAAGTTCTAGTAAAGGGAAAAGTCTCTTGTTTGAAGATTCTGATGATCGTAATAAAGGTGGATCTAAAGGTGGTTTACTAAAGACGTCCGAACGCACTCGCCTTGCTAAAAGAAGCAGCGTGCAGCTGCTATTGTTACAAAAATGAGACGTGGTGTTAAAAGGCGTAAACGAAAAGCTATTAATATGGGCTCCTCCGATGAAGAAGATGATCCAGACGAAGAAGCACAAGATGAGAGTGAATTAGACGATCACGAGGGAGATGAGGTAAAACATATTTCTTTATTGATACCCTTATTTTATTTATTAACTTGTCTTAGCCACACCTTTTGCTTTCTCAGGAATCTGTCTGTGACTTTAATTTTATTTATTTCAACACATGGATATTGGTACAAGAGAGCGCCAATATATATGCGCCACACAAAACAATGAAAATTCGAAGAGAAATAGAAAAAAAAACTAAGGAGCGCAAAAGAAAAAGAGAACAATGACGAAGAGATTGGTGTAAGGTAGTGTGGTAGTAACGAGGGAACGGAAAGGTACAATCAGAAGAAATCTTTCAGGTAAGGGAGACACAACCACTTTTTATGAAGAAAGTAAAAGAAGGTTACAGCAGGATCGCCACTGGCTTCTATTCTGAGCCATATCTGATAACGTCTCTAGCCACTGTGTAGCACCATCTCTCAGACCCCAACCAGGGAGTCGTGAAGGACCAACACAAGCCAGTCCTTTGCAGCTTTCTTTCATGCCACGACACCATGTCATGCACTGACCACCTCTCCGCTTCTTCCAACCAGTCCCAGAGTCGGCAAATAATGCACGACGTGGAATTCTCTGGGACGACATTCGGAGAACATGTCCAAGCCACCGAAGTCGGTGTTTCAAGATGGTGACACCAATTGAATTATCATCTCTGTGCCCGAACACACGATGCCGAACCTCTGCATTACTGACATGGTGTTGCCACTGAATGTCAGCAATCCTTCGGAGACAGCGATGATCGAACACAGAGAGTCGTCTAACGTCCTCAACTCGGAGAGGCCAGGTTTCACAAGCATAGAGCAAAACTGCTCTCACCGACGCGTTGTAGATCCGACCTTTTACAGCCAGACTAACATCACGAAGGCGCCAAAGGTGGCCCAGATTGGCATAAGCCGCTCTGGCTTTCACTATTCGTGCATTGATCTCATCACTCACACCCCCACCAGCACTTATGCAGCTACCCAGATACACGAACTTCTCAACTACGTCTATCTGCTCACCATCCAGGGTGAGTACAGGATTAGAATCCTGCCAGTCTTGTAGAAGTACTTTGCACTTCGAAGGTGCAAAGCACATACCATACCTACGGACACTGATTGCCAACTGATTAAGTGCGGATTGCATGCCTTGGGCATTATCGCACAGTAAGACAATATCGTCCGCATACTCAAGGTCGAGAAGTCTTTCTCCAGGCAACAGATCCACACCACCATTACTTACATTCATCAGAGCTGTTTCCAGAATGTCATCGATGGCAAAGTTGAAGAGGAATGGTGAGATTGGGCAACCCTGCCTAACCCCACTGCTCGAATGGAACAATGGAGAGAGGTGGTTGTATGCCCTCACTCTGCCTGAGGTGTATTTATATAGGGCTTTTAGGATGTTAATAAACTTCTCAGGCACACCCTTCTTCAATAGACAATCCCAGAGAACAGTCCTGTCCAACGAATCGAAGGCAGCCCTGATGTCAAGAAACACTACGATTGTTGGCCTTTGATAAGTATGGCGGTGTTCTAACATTTGGCGGAGGGTGAAGATATGATCAATACATCCTCGACCAGAACGAAACCCAGCCTGCTCCTCGCGAGTCAATCTTTCTCGGGTTTTGAACAACCTACGAAGAATGACGGAAGCCAATAGCTTGGACGCAATCGGAAGTAGACTTATCCCCCGATAGTTGTTACAGGAACGACGTGAACCCTTTTTAAAGATAGGGACAACTATCGACTCATTCCATGACGTTGGTACACTCTCTAGTTCCCAAACCTTTGTAAACAACGTCGTCAATTCCTTAGTCAAAAAGTCACCACCATCTTTAAAAAGAGCCGGAGGTAAGTCATCTGGGCCAGGTGATTTGTAACGCTTCAAGAGTTGGAGTTCCTTGCGGACTTCCTCCTCGTTTGGTGGATCAGTCGTCACCGGCCATGGAGGGCAGGACAGTCTGACCGATGTTGCCGGAGCAGCAGGCCAGTTGAACTGCCCTTCGAAAAATTCTGCCCATCGTCCAAGACGTCGATGGATGTTAGTGATTGGCATCCCATCATCCTCGCAGATTGTTTCACTCACACCAGACTTCTTGCTGCCAGTGGCTCGGATGAGCTGGAAGAGCTTCCGGTAGTTACCAGATGCAGCTGCTGCTTCCAGCTCATTAGCACGCATCGACCACCAGGCTTCTCGGTCCTTACGCAAGCTTTGCCCAATTTCCTTACGTAACATCCTTCGTTTATGGTCAAACTCACGGTCACCCGGAGTAGACCGACGGGCTTCAATGAGTTGTAAGGAACCAGAAGAAACCCAGTGCTTAAAAGCGGGACGTTTCGCAAACCCACAACTGACTGTTCCCGCCATTTTCATGGCGTCATGCAATTGCAACCAATGCTCATCTATACTTTTCGGTGGAGTGGTAGCTAGCCTAGAGGCTAGCTCGGTTCGATACTTACTTGCAACAGAAGTTGCAACCAGCTTGCTAACATCAATCCGTTGATGGCGGTCACTTCGTTGTCCACTGAAAAGTAAGGCAAGATTGGCGCAGACCAAGGCATGGTCAGAGTCCAGATAGGTACTCCAAAAGGAGCGGCAGTCTTGTACACAACCACGCCAGCGGTAGCTGATCGCGATGTGATCAATCTGAGTCCAGGCTTGAGATGCAGAGGGAGGACGCCAGGTGGCACATCGGCGATGACTGTGCCGAAAGTTAGTGCTAGCCAGAAACAGGTTGTGGTCTGTGCAAAGTTGCAGTAGACGGTCCCCGTTATCTGACCTGCGACCAACGAGTCCCCATCGGCCACCTAAACGACTCTCTTCTGTGCCTAGACGCCCGACCTGAGCATTCAAGTCTCCGGCTAGTACTACAATATCTGTCGAACGCACTTTCTGGAGAAGAACTGATAACTGGTGGTAAAACTCATCCTTGATTGCATCCGGGCTGCAATCTGTCGGGGCATAGGCGGAGATGACGAAAAGACATCGTTTCTCACGCCGATTTCTTCTCACTTTGATGGAACTTTCTAATCTAACAGCACATAACCGACTGTTAATGGGGATCCAATCGACTAGTGCTGCCTCAGCTCTAGCGCTTAGTGCGACACCAACGCCAGCAAGACCAGACGAAGATGCCACAGGGTCCCCGGATAAGCGCACGTAAAACAAGCTTTTCGAAGCGACAGATGGAGATCGAATTTGTAGTACTTCGCCAGAGTCTTGAATACGGGTCTCGGATAGACAACAACATCGATATTAAGACTTTCCAAAGACATAGCCAGCCCTATCTGTTGTCCGACCTGCATAAATGTGCGAACGTTGAAGGCAGCCAGTTTGAATGGTGCACGTGGTTTCAGAAAAACTGCTTCAGTCCTCGTATTCGGTGGTAACATACAATTTTCAACCGGACAGTGACTCGAGAACGTTTAGATACAGTCGAATTTCCACCAAAGACGAGCCGCTGTATAAGTATAAAAGAGGGTGAATAATGTGGAAAATAATAATAATAATAATAATAATAATAATAATAATAATAATGACAATAATAGTAATAATAGTATTAATAATGACAATAATTGTAATGATAATAATTTGAATCAATTGTTTTTTTTCAAAGCAAGAAAGGTAATTTCCATAGACATAAAGAGTTCATCATTTGTGTGTGGGCTGTGATACTGCCCGGGTGCCCAAACCGAAGCAGGTGGTTATCTTAGGGGGCCACTCCCCGAGCCTTTGACCTAAAGGTCTAACCCACAAGGCAGTGGAGCATCGTAAGGAGATGCAGTCCCATGGTAGCCGGTGACCAACGATTGGTTCATACGCCATTTGTTCCCGCAGGATACTGGAGCCCATGTGCACCATTGGTTTGGAATCCGGTTAAAGCGCCGGACATTCGCTTTTCGTCCTCTCATTTTCGTAAACAACACCCCCGCCACGAGAAGGCAATGAGTAGGACTTCCCTGGCAGAGGCTGTATACGCGCGGCCGTGTGAGAGTATTTCGAGAGGGAGAGCGGACTCTCTCCGCTCTCGGCCGTACCAGGGCATTCGGGGGCTTGTGACTTTAAAGCTGGGAACCGTGGCACATATTTAAAACTAAGAAGTTGATATATACCGTTTTTTTATCAATTCATTAAATATGTATGTACTCTTTGAATTTGTTGGTTTAACGTATACTTGACATAAAGTACATACTTTTATTTTAATGATGATAGTATATATATACTGAATATAATTATAGAATTCACGCCAGTTTACAGGCGTGATCAGCTTGATGTAAGTAGTAACATTGAATGTAGAAGACAAACATGTGATATGAAATTGTTTTAAGTGTACTAGTTCAACAATTGTTTAGGTAGTACATTTATGACATGTATTGAAGCAATGAAATGCATCGGCCGGGAACTTTTAATTCTTCTTAAGTGGACATGTTGTTGATTTATGAACGGTGCATTTTAGGTCATTTCCTGCGTCATAACGAATTAATTACAATCATCTACAACTAGAGAAAGTAAAATGGAAACAGATAGCACGGAACAACACAGCAATAATTACCAAAATATGTTAGTCAGGTCTTCCATAATGGGTATGTCATGTGTCTCAGTGATATACTGTTCATTTTAGGTATTATTTAAATTAGTTAGAATTCCCACGGACGGTGTTAACGTAGAGTAACAGCAGGTAGGTGGTTTTACTTAGTGAATTCAGTAATACGAATGTCTAAACATTTAAAATTTTTATAATCTCACTTCTGGAATAAGATACCTGCGCTAGATTTCATGCATTTTCAGAGGAGCAGTTATGCATCAACGTAGGAAACAAAGGATGGGAGTAATTTTATCTTACAGATAGATTGTGGTAGGTTATTCCACAGTCTGGTTGTAGTACTCGAAGTTTCAGCTTCGTACAGTAGAACTCTCTTGATGTTCGTATTGAAGATTCTAACTTTGATATTGGTTGACAGCTGTTTTGAGTTTCATATGTTCTTCGACTGTATGAATACTGACCTTACTTTGTCCGTCCTCGCATTTATGTCTGCATCGGATCCTCCATGTTCCTCAGTGATGATGTCCAGGTCCATGAAAGTTTCCTCCTGTCCCAGATTTTCTCCATCAAAAGTGATTGGATTGGTGTTCTCCATGTTGTATTTGAGGATCTTGCTTTTTCCCTTGTGTATGTTGAGACCTACTAATGCAGGGGTTATGACACACTGGTGGTCGACTTGCATTTGTTGGTGTGTATGTGATAGAAGGGCTAGGTCATCTGCGAAGTCCAAATCGTCTGGTCGCATTCTAGCTGTCGATTGCATTTCGTGTTTCCTTCCATATGTGGAGGTCTTCATAATCCAGTCAACCACTAGAATATAGAGAAAGGGTAAGAGTAAGCAGCCGCGTCTGACACTGGTCCTCGCTTGGAATACATCTGTCGGTTGCAATGTTGTCCTTTGTACGAATTCAGTATGATTGTGACGATCTTCTCCGACACACCATAGAAGTGACACTCACAAGACGAAATATGATTTAAGGATATTTGTATTACTACTTCATCTTATTCTAGACTGTTGTAATATTTACGTATGACAATTAAAATGGAATCTTAGATTCTACGGTCCATAAGTAGTTTGTTACTGATACACCAGTAATTTGATCTTTAACTTATTTGTAATAATATTCTTATCATTTTGAATATGTTATTATTTTTTGTGATTTGTCAATGTTATCGGTTCATCTAACATATTGATAACAATTTGTGTATGTTGCTTCCGGTTTATTACATGTGTTCTTTTCCCGTACAAATTTAACTTTGTAGTTGTTTAAATTACAGATAAATATCTGTGATATCAAACAGGTCTATTTTTACACAATCTTCTGTAAACCACATTTTTCAAACATCTCTTTTGAACTTGTAAGTATGTAAATTATATTAATTCACTCCATCCACAATGTTTTTAATTCTTTTTTCATGTAAGTTTATTGAGGTAACTATTTATTTGAGGTTTTTACACTCTTCCTATCGTAATTTTAGGTAGATTACATGACTAATTCATCATCAGATGAAGAGAAATTATCTAGTGAAGAACGCGAGAAAATATATGAAGAAACTGGGTTGATGAGGAAGTCGCCCTGAAAACTCTACTTACTGACATCAGTGAGTTGTTTTTGATTAGCGAAATTTATTTCCGCATACTGATGGAATATTGATAGCCTTGTATGGAGTAGATGAACGGTAAATGTCAATCACCTGACCGCCTCCTTAAATACTAGAATTCACTTAAACACTAATCTAATTTCTCATTCATCTCAATTTTTTTCACTATCGTCCGTGTATGCTACTTTTTTTTTACATAACTTTTTCCTCAATATCTGGTGCTAAATAAACAAACGTATCGAATACCATAAAAGTACAGTTCAAACAGTATGTTCAGTCAGTCAGTCAGTAACAACGTAGAACTTCGTACGTACGTACATCAGTTCGAGTTGCCACACCACATTAGCACAGAGATGCAGTGGTCGATTCAAATCCCGTAGTGCTAGATGTAGTAAAATTATAAGCTGTTATCAGAAAAATTAGGGTTTGAAGATGTTGTTCAAGGAGTATAATCCAGTGGTAGTGATGTGATCTGCCTTCTCGTGGCGAGGGTGTTGTTTGCGAATCTGAGAGGACGAAAAGCGAATGTCTGGCGCTTTAACCGGGTTGATGGACATACAGAGTCCACATAGAGGAGTTGGGAAACCCTGATTCCGAACCAATGATGCATATGGGTTCCAGTATGCTGTGGGAACAAATGGCGTATGAACCAATCGTTGGTCACCGGCTACCATGGGACTGCGTCTCCTCACGATGCTCCACTGCCTTATGGGTTAGACCTTTAGGTCAAAGGCTCGGGGTGTGGTCCCCTAAGAATACCACCTGCTTCGGTCTGGACACACGGGCAGTATCACAGCCCTCACACAAATCTAATGATTTATGTGTCGCATATCTATTTGATGCCTCCTTTTACCAATGTTTATGTACTTAAATAAATAAATAGACTTAAAAACTTACATCATTATATGCCTCAGCTAGAAGACCTCAACGCACCACAAATAAAACATATCAGTTTATGCGAAACTAGGTTATTTGTGGTATAATACTGAGTAACTCGTATACAATTAATCAGTTGTATCAATGAAAGAAACCTATCATATCTATTTATTTTGTTTTATCAATTGTAACTTATGAACAGCTAAAGATATATCAGCAGTTAGTAAGTTAAGTGAAAGCCTACAGCATTGTAGTTTACTCCAAGTCTCAATGTAATTGTTTGTTCAAACCATTCTATCCATTCCATGCAATTTTCAGCCCTTGCTTTATTATTATGTAATATATATTGAAAATGCTTTTTTTCTTGTTTTGGGATTGTTCTAATATTGATTTTTCGTTTTTACTTTCCCTCTAACAGGTAGTGAAGAGGAAAAGTCTGAAGATGACATGCAAGACGTAGAGGAAAATCCACCTGTTGATGATGAGGATAATATCTATTCTAAGAGACGTAGTGAAATAGATGATATGACAAAACCTCAAAGAAATGATTTTCAAAAGGGTACAAAACATTCAATATCTATTCATAAATCAGATGATAGATTAGAGGCCACTGCAAAATCTCATCGTAGTCATAAAAAACGTCAAGACAACGACAATGACAGTGGATCATCATCAAGTTCGAGTTCTTCATCGGCTGATGATTCTTCTACATATTCTTCATCTGATTCCGACCTTGACAACCGGCTTAAATCAATACAGAAAAATGCGAAAAAAGCTGAAGTGTTGCAAAAACTCTCAGAAACCATTCATGCACCTTCACTTTCATCTGGAATTAATAGTGGTAGCAGTCCAATTGACAATCAACCAGTAAGCTGTGGCAATAATTCAAATTTAAAACGTTTACCTATTGATTTATCTGCATCTGTTAATTCAGACACTTCAGCAGATTCACCCGCTGCAAAAAAATTACGAAATGACACACCATCTGGTACATCAACAATTTCAACTGACAATGAATTAGTAAATACTGTACGTAAATACTTAATGAGAAAGCCTATAACAGTTAGAGAATTATTAAAGAAAATTCGTCTACGTAAATTGGTTGGTAAAAATGAAGATGCACAAACAGTATTGGCTAATGTATTACGTCAGCTGAGACCTATCAAACAGACAATTAATGGACAACACGCTTTATCTTTAAAACATTAATTGTCTGAAATAAAAGTACTATTTTAAAAAAATTGCATGTATAGACATTGCTTCTTCTTTTCCTAGGTATATTTATATATTTTTTAATAATGAAAAGAAATATATGTATATTTGTACACAAGAAATGTACATGTATTTTTAATAATTTATTTGAACATATTCATTGTGTATTCTTTAACAAAACATTTTTTGGATCAGTCGTCTTTCTCTACAAATTACTTATAGTTTGTGTTTGAAGTTTGCCTGGCTATAATGTGTTTGACTGCACTTTTAGTGTGGAGTCATACGTTTGTCTTAACTGGTGCGAATATATTTCGAGTTGAGTGGGTAATTTCTTTTAATAGTCACTTAAAGTACAATACTCTTTCCGTAGGTTACTAGCGTTTTATCATAGATGCCTTGGGATCATTGCCCGCTTGTGGTGAGATAGCCGAGTATGCAATGTTGAGGTTAGGCACATGATTCTAGGTAAGAATGACGAGTCGGTTTACGAGGTAGTTATTTGTTATTGATTGAATAGATAGGAAAATGTGTTAGGGGATGGCCAAACGAAAACATGGCATCAACCCACGAAATCATTGACAGTTGAACTGAGCTGTGTAGGTAGGTGCAGTCTATTTTGCTAGAATCGGCGCATTATCCTAGATCAGCGGTTAGAGATGATGGATTATATGTCTCGGGACCATTCATTCTTTTTCTTTCACTAGGTCTTGGGTTTTACTATTATACACTTTGTCGGGCTGGAGTTATTTTCAGCAAATTATATTGGGAAATTCTCGTTATGACCTGCTAAGTTTTTAAAAATCAGGACTTTTATTGCATCATCTACGACACTTAATTGATGTACTTTGATTATATCTGAATTGGGATGTAACAAAGCTTGTTTTATAATTAAAAAACAGACAACAAACTAGATAACGTCCTTCTGTGTTCAGCCGTTTCATAAGATGTTTTTCATGCTACTTATTTTACCGAGGGGTGTAAATACTGTTTGTGTTCAACTTGAAATAAGGTGATTTGTTATCATTTTCACCACAGTGCCAATCCTGTTGAAATTTCCATATCAATTTTAGAACGACGCTTCTCGATGTCATAGTTATCTTTATCCCATTTAATGATAAACTGGTTGATAATCTCTATCAGTGGCATATTGGGATTCGGATTGTTATCCTTTACGTCATCAATGTAAGTTCTATCGCGTATTCTTCACGTTGTTAGCTCTGTCAGTACATTTTGAGTGATGAATGAAGTTAAAGATCTTGCTTGTGAACTTCTTGATTTGTTCTAATACAATGACTCCTTATTGATTTTCCTTAAAAGTGATAGATCTGTGTATTGTACTTGAAACATTCACTAAATGTAAATCTACTTAGTAAAATTTACCATCAGAAAAATCCTTTTTTTGTAACCAAATGTGATAAGATTTTTCATTAATATACTGGTAGGATTAACTGTATTTATCTATGATGCTGTTAAGATAAATAGTTTATCAAGAGAGAATGTGATTTATATAGTATTGCAGAAAATATGGTCCTATTATGAGGAAATACTGCCAAGAGATAAGGTCTCTTGAAGGCTTTGGATGCTTATCCGTGGATTTTTTGAAAGTGTCTGGCACCTCCATATCAATTTATTGTAAAGTTGGACATGCTCCTCTAAATTGTTTACTTCGGCTAAGTAGAGAGGGTTCATTTCTATTTTGTCTTCCTATTCTGCTTATGATTCTGACATTTTATGTATCATTCGATATCAAGGATGGGGTTTGCTTCGCTTGATTTCTGTGTCTTACATCATGGTTATAAGATGTACATTAAGAGTATCTTAACAGAGCGTGTTTGGTCATTTTCTCCCTAACTGTTACGATGTGTCAAACCTTAAACTGATTCACTATTGTGTGAAGTTTAACATGTTAGAGACCAATATGTTTTTGCCCGATTTGGTTTTCATTTTACTCTCTCTCTCCAATAAATATATCAAAAGAAACGTATGCCACAGCACATTTCAGTCTCTTATGCAATTTTAGGCGTAACCACAGGAATTCGCTTACGTTACTTAAAAATGTTTATCGTTCTCAATCAAAATACTTCCAATTTCATGGATCTGCCAATTAGTAGCTATACAAAAAAAAGCTTACACTACCAGTGTTTTAGCGAATTCAGTCTCAAACAAATTTGCCTGATTCTGGGTTACATTTGTTTGCTCATTACTTATTTCTATTTTATCGCTCGACTTTCAACATTTCACTTACCGACTATCTCTTTGATCAGTTATTTGAATAATCATCAAATAATTCCAGTTAACACTCTTCATTTGCTATTGTTTTTAACTCATCTTTTCGTTTAACTTAAGGATCATGTCTGCATTTCGTAGTCTAGCCTGGTTTTCAAAAGGGATGCGTGAATACACAAAGTAAGTAATTTTATTTAGAACTTCATACGATTTCTTGAGTATGCAAATGATTATAATGTGGCATGCATATCGGTTTTTATATATGGGTCTGATATTTTTGTCATATTTTGTCGCCTTTGCCCTATTAATATATAACGTAATGATACCACTAATTGGAGAGCAGTGGCTTATCGACCGCACCAATGACGCATAACCACTTACGAACCGTCTAGGGTCCTTATCCGTCCTTCTTCCTGACTAGCCCTACCTGCTGAGTCCAGAACACTAATCTCAGCCTCCACTATATGAATCATATGTTTCAAACATACAGGGTTTGGTTGATATACGCCAAACAGACCACACCGTACCATAAAATAGAAAATAACATTTGTAAAAATCTAGCCAAAAGTTACTGTGAATGTGGGAGACTGTAATTAATAGATTGGGTATAACTCGAGAATGGCAAATCGCATAGTAATAGTCCGTGGATCAAAATACAGCTTGCAATAGGATGAACCTGAATATTCATAGTTTAGTTACATAATTATACAATAAAAAAGATATATATCGTATTATTCCATAAATAGTTCACAGAAGGTACCATTCATAATTCTCGTCGGGATATAACAATTTTAATTTCTCAGCTGTGTCAAAATCCAGATTTATTTGAGCCTCATATTGTTCCACATGTAATGCAGAAATAATGTCTTATTTAACTTATGCATGAGTATGTACTCAGCTCAGTCATACTATTTGTATAGTGGATAGGGATACTATCGAATTAGAAAGAGTGGAGTTCGGAACTGTTACCGTTCTAGGATTAAAACTACTTTGCAAAGCAAAACTATTAAGAGCTAATTTCATCACTATGTAACGGTTTGCTTGATACGTTATTAAAGTAGTATTAAATCAAATTACGAATGCAGTCAAGTTAGAATCTTGATGAGTATGTATTTGACCATGTATTTAAGCGTTAATTTTGTTAATTCGAAAAGCCTGTATTCATGATATCCTTTCGCGTTCCAAACATTAGCTGTTAGTCTTTGTTGCATTCATATCTAAAAATATAACTAGCTAACTGTCAAATGCATTTCTATTTTTAGCTTCATCTCGACATTACTTTTCTTTGCCTGTTACGTTACACTCTTAATAATTACTCAATATTTCAAACTGTTTTATGGCTTGTTTGGTGGTGTGCATATTTTTTTTACGTTAATTTCATCATGTGTTCGTCGCTATTTGAAACGTAGTCTGTTTGAACGGTTTGCCATTCCTCTAACTTTTTATTTTTGCCGTTTCCAATGTGACCTAATAATTCTATATAACTTGTGCACTTCGTATTCAATAACCATCAAGTCAATATTAAAAATGGCCGAATGATTATTCAAAAAAGATATTTCAAGCTGTGGAAAAGTCGAGTAGCTGAAAAACTTTATTTATTACTGAGTCATATACCACTCAATAGAAAGGAAGGCTGAATTTTAAGCCGGCCTAAACAATTTTTCCATAATTTTCGTATCTGACTTCAGGGTAACACAACAACCAAATTAAATTACTGATCTACATTATAAACACCAGGCCTTTCATAAACACACTAGACATATTTCACGTGATGTTACGCGCAACTCTTTCATTAGGACCTCGGAATGTATTCTTTACTAACAAGATCTAATGTCTTAATTGTGTCTAGTGTTGTATGTGATGATCATTTATTACAGATCACTGCTAAAGTCCATTACTCTTTTTTCATTTATTCAGGTCAGGCTATGAGTCAGCTGCTTCACATTTTGATCCTAATGAGTTGAAAAACGTACGCTTAGACAATCACCGTGTTTTGATAACTGGAGCCAATTCAGGGATCGGCCTCGTGTGTTGTAAAGAATTAGCGAAACATGGCGCAGAAATCCATATGGTTTGTCGCAGTAAACCTCGTGCTGAAGAGGCACGTCAACAGATAATCTCTGAAACTGGAGTCAATGATTCGGTTAGTTATTCTTTTTATCAAGAAGTATGATGAAAACGTTTCCTGTGACTATCTTTTTCAATGTATATGTCTTTATGAGAATTACTAAGAATGTATGCCGCTGGTGATGCTGAAGTCTCAAGTAATGCATTCGGAAGAAATCAATTTTAAAATTCGCGTATTAATTTAAAATTAACTTCGTTCAGTTAACTTCCAATCCATTGTTGATGTACTGCGGTTTTTTGTTCAGTAGTGATTGTTCAATCTGATAAAATTATGTATTTAATAGTCATTGACATGTAATTTGAATAAACCTAAATGCAAATTAATTCTTCCGGATTCTCTATCAATACAACTGCTATACGAAATGAAGTTTCCGTACAGTTGGCGGGAAGGCAAGAAAAGTATAGAAACAATCTCGTTCATCGTATTGAAATTGATGTTTTGGAAATTAGCTTAGTCTGCAAACATATCGTCCTGTCCCTCGTCATCAAAATTACTAAGGATGCATACTGCTTGAACAATAAATAATGGCTCTAAAAGTTTATTCAGCTCTTAAGAATATTTGTCGAATTTTGATTTGAGTGGCTAAAGCAACCAACTGGTATGTTTCGAGCTCAATCATACTAGTACGAATGTATTCACTCCTTACCTAAATACTGAATGTTTTGTGATGATTGATTATTTATTTTTCCTCCTTGATTTCTCATTTTGTTAACCTTTTTCATCATGCATTTGTCAATACCGATGGTTTGAAAATTAGTTCGTTTGACACGATGCCGGTGAATGTCGATGATACACGTCCTTTACACTACGTACTTTTTGTAGTTTCTTGTAGTAAGCAGCCTACATAAATGTCAGCCCATCCCTTTATCTCCAAAATCAACATTTTTAACCAAATGTTTTAAAATACATTTCAATAACCCTACATAATGATAAATATGTGATATGGTTTGCTGTAATATCACTTATCCTAACTACCTTTTGAACTAGTATTACAAGTTCCTTCTCTTCTAATCACTACTTCTCTAAACTAAATTCTTGCAGGAAGATTGATTTAAAAAAGGCGGGAGAATTCATTTTGTACATTGGTTCATTTATTTATATACTGAATAAATCCAGTGTTTAGTATTTACGAAAATTATCAACTGAACAATGAGCAATTGAACACAATTACCAACAATTAATCGATACTATAAATATGCATTAAAATGAAAAGAAAAAAAGTTCACACTGAATTAACATGACAAACAATATTTGAAATCAATATTGAATTTCTTTCTTTTGAATTCTATCCGAGATCTTACACCCTCAGCGGTAAAAATCACTGAAATTCTTCAACCGTATAGACGTTCTCCTACATGGACTTCAATCCTTATCGGGTTATATGCGTTACATTGGATTAAGGAGTTATAAGCGACTGTCACCAGTTACAGTTGGTAGGTGTTCTAATGTAAAAACAGCCAGCTGAAACTTTTTACCGATTCACACTATTTGTTTGATCATGTTTTTTTGGCGGGAATAAATACAAAGTTTGAGCTTTCATTCTCCTGAACTATTTATTCAGGTTTCCAGTTGTTTTCTTATATTGTGTACAATTAATATTATTTATCTGACTTTTCTATGTTATGTAATAATACTTTATCGATAATTTGATTTTAGCGTATAATTATTCATCCATTGGATCTTTCTAAACCGAATGAGGTCCGCAATTTGGAAAACAATTTGCTAATAATAATGATTCACGTCTAGATATTTTGGTAATTAGCAATAATTGATTAATAGCTTCATTATTTCCATTTTGCTATATATATTTTTAAATTATGTTCTTTGCTACTGTATATTTCATTTGTTTAATTGGTTACATCACTACAGTAAATATGATACATGTGACTGAGAAAGTTCTTTTCTCTTCTAAATAGAAATTGATTAAGTTGTGTTATTATAATTTGGTCTAAATTTCACGTTGAATAAAGAAAATATCACATACAAATAATTTACAGATAAATTAACTTGATTTCTAAGTCTTTCATAAATATCTATGTCTATGAATGTATTGTTTCAGTTAACTATTCAGAACTGTAAAGTTTATTCCTATACCTCAGAGATATTTCAAATCAGCTCTATTATATCCTTATATAAGTTCATAACCTTAGTTGGGAACTAGAGTGGGATACTGTCAACAGGAAAGATAATTAAAAATCGCAAAAAAAACCAGTAAGGAAAAGAGACTCCCATATAAAATGCAAAAAGACTCCATCTGTAAAACATTTCAAAATCTTAGTTGAAGAATTTACTTACTTACTTACGCCTGTTACTCCTAATGAAGCATAGACCACCGACCAGCATTCTCCAACCCAGTCTGTGCTGGGCCTCCTTTTCTAGTTCTACCCAATTCTTGTTCATTTTTCTCATGTCTATTTCCATTTCCCGGCGTAGTGTGTTCTTTGGTCTTCTTCTTTTCCTTTGGCCTTTAGGGTTCTATGTGAGGGTTTGCCTTGTGACGCAGTTGTGTCTTTTCCTCAATGTGTGTCCTATCCACTTCCAACGTTTCTTCCTGATTTCTTCCTCCGCTAGGATCTGGTTTGTTCTCTCCCAAAGTTGGTTGTTGCTGATAGTGTCCGGCCAACGGATGTGAAGTATTTTGCGTAAATAGCTATTAATAAACACCTGTATCTTCTGGATGATGGCTTTCGTAGTTCTCCAGGTTTCCGTCCCATACAGTAGAACTGTCTTGACATTTGTATTGAAAATTCCGACTTTTGTGTTGGTTGACAGTTGTTTTGGGTTCCGGATGTTCTTCATTTGTAAATATGCTGCTCCTGCTTTGCTGATCCATCCACACCTCCACGTCTGCATCAGATCCACTGTGTTTATCAATGTTGCTGCCCAGATATGTAAACGTTTTTACATCCTCCAAAGCTTCTCCGTTAGGTGTGATTTGATTGGTGTGTGTTGTGTTGCATCAGAGAATCTTGATTTCCCTTTGTTTATGTTGAGACCTATTGCTGCTGAGGCTGCTGCTATATTGGTGGTCTTCTCCTGCATTTGTTGTTGCGATTGCGATAGAAGAGCCAGATCATCTGCGAAGTCTAAGTCGTCCAGCTTCATCCTAGCTGTCCATTGTATCCCACACTTCCCCCCAGATGTTGACTTCTTCATGATTTAGTCGATCACCAGGAGAAAGAGAAAGGGTTAGAGTAAGCAACCTTGCCTGACACCGGTCTTTAACTCGAACGAGTCTGTCAGCTGTCCTCCATGCACGATTTTGGTATTGATTGCTGAACTTCTTGTTGATGCAGAAATGGTCGATTTGGTTTTGGGTAGTGTGATCTGGTGAAGTCCATGTGATGTTGTGAATGCGCTTATGTGGGAATCTAGTTCCGCCTATGACCAGCTTATTGAAGGCACATAGATTTGCAAATCTCTCACCATTTTCGTTTCTTTCTCCCAGTCCGTGTCATCCATTCCAACCTTGGCATTGAAATCTCCCATCAGAATGGTCAAGTCCTTTGTTGGACACTTCTCGACGTTTGACTGCAGCCTATTGTAGGATTGATCTTTAGCGTCTTCATTGTAGTCGTAGGTAAGCGCATAGCATTGGATGATGTTCATTGAAATGCCCTCTTTCTTTGTTTTAAACGAGGCTTTGATGATCCTTGGTCCATGAGATTCCCATCCTATAAATGCATTTTGTGCTTGTTTGGACAACATCAATGCAACTCCTTGTGTATGTGGGGCATTTTCTTCATCATGACCAGAGTATAACAGAAGCTCCCCTGAAGCTAGTCGTTGTTGTCCAACTTGTGTCCAATGTGTTTCACTGATCCCAAGCACCTCTAGGTTGTATCTCGTCATTTCTGCAGCAATTTGGAAAACTCTCCCAGTCCCCCACATTGTACGAGCATTCCATGTACCTAAATCATTGGTTGCTCTGGTTATCAGAAGGGGCATCGGCCTCGTAACTTCCGAAGGAATTCGGCTTTCATCATGAGGCGTCATCACTCTTCTAAATGAAGACCTGACACCCAGGATAGAGTTTTAAAGGTTTGAATTTTTTTCTGGTTAGCGTTTTTTTAGCGAGTTAGTTTTCTACGGGATGGGGTCGCTAACCCCATGCCCAACCCTCCTCCTTTATCCGGGCATGGGACCGGCAGTAGCCCGAGGAGGGATTCCAGGCGGAGTTAATTGAAGACTTTAGATGCTATGTATTCTCAATCATATTAATTATAACTAAAAAATTATATACTTCTTTCGTAGGTCTAAAATCTACATTGATTTTATAATTTGTTTCTATATCTCACAATAGTTATTCCAAAACTCTGTTGACCGTATTTCCGAACATTAGACCTAAATATAAATTATAATTGATTACAAGCAGCACGTGTGCTACCATGTTCTTCAGTTGTTTAAAAAACAGAATCCACCACTATGTATCAATTAAATAGTGGATTAATACTTCATCATGTATTGATTTCTAATCGGTATCTGTTCTTTAAGAGGAGATATTCCCGAATTCCTAAATAATCAGTGACATTTAATTTGACTGCATCTATGTTCTGACTATGTCACGACAATATTTTCTCACTATACCATCATGCGATTGTAGTTAGAAATATCAGTCGAAAAGTTCGACTATGCATGACTATATTTGTTAAGATTGGGCGAATAGATGAGAATTTAAAACTGCGAAAGATAAGCTTTGATAAGTATATTTTTAACGTCAATATATTAAAAAGTGGTACATGATACTTTCATATTGTCCTAGTTTTTAACCTTTATTTCACTCATTAACTGTTGCTACATCTTATACGTTGGCACATTAACCAAATTGTTTGCAATTCCGATTCCAATGAAGCAAATTAAGCTAGTTCTACCTTCATCCCTGCCCGCTAAGTGAAGTAAAAAATCCAGATTGTGTAGAAGATTTTTTAATAAAGACCCAGTAGGACTGGTTTTTATAGAGAGAATTGGCATGCTTATATTATGAAATACTAACATAAACATGGTAAAATGACATAGGCAACTAGAGAGAATTAGTTTGTAGATCATTTAGCCTCTAACCTATCATTGTTATACCTAGCTTAAGGGCTCGTATTAACATCTTTTTCTGCTCATAAATTATCGTACCTAACTATAAACCTGTTATTCAGCTTTGTACCATAAACGTCCTGTGGTGCGTGCTACTTTTATTGACATAAGTAGTATATAACGCGAGTCAGGAATGTAATGTCTGGTAGCAGAAGATTGGGAAGATCAAGAAAGATAGAACGGGAATAGAAAGCAACTAGTATAGAAATGCAAGAACAGTCAAGTCCGAGACAATTATTGAACATTTTGCAAATTAATTATTATAGTATGGTTTTTCTATTTTACCAAGTAACCCTGTAATGTTGTGCTAAATATAATTCGATTGTCGTCATCTGTGTTCCCCTTCGCTACATTCCTAGTTATGTATATATTGAGTTTGAATAATCATGGTGCCTCATGGTCTTGTATTTTGTCTATCACGAGGCGAGCCTTGAATTCATTTAGCTGGCTTTCTGGTGTTCTGTTTGGTAGTTTTGAGATATGTTAAAGGATTGTTACTATGCCTAATAACTGAATTTATGGAACTCAAGTTAACAACATAGGTAAAACAGCGGAACTTGAAGATATTTACCAGAAGAGTTGATAACTTTTGATTTCATTTTACTTTCCGTCATTATTTTCCAGTGTTGAAGAACTCATCAGTAAATATAGTTTCACCATATGGTTGCTCAGTTGTCCGTAGTTGTAACTCATGGTTTTGGTTACCTTCGTGTTTATCAGATTTCGTAAACCACTTGACTGATTCACAGTTTCAGTTTACAACCAGTCCGTTTTTATCAACCTATGAATTTCTTTATTTTAAATGCTTAATCTTACATTAATTTATTACCTCATAATTGCTGTTTGCTTTCATATATCTATCTTAAACTACTATAGATTAATAATGCTGGCTGCATGATTAATGAATATAAAACTGATGAAAACGGCATAGAAGCTAATTTCGCCACAAATACACTTGGTACTTATATACTTACTGAAAGTCTAATACCTGCATTAAAAAAATCACCTGATGTAAGTATGAACAATAATTTGATAACATTTTGTGGTTTATAGATTATGTAGAATGATTAGCTTTAAATCGTAACTGTAACCCAGTCAAGTAATTTACCAACTAAATTGTCCAACGTTATATCAGTCCAAATATTTCGTTGATATAAAAGGGCATGCTATTGAATTAATAAGTTTACAATGTGATCAGTTTTCGAAATCGGTAGTATATATATATATATATATATATATATATATATATATATATATATATCGGTTTCAAGTGACTGTTATAGAATTTATATTTAAATGTGTATTGTACTGATAATTCACTTTGTCTCAATACTGAATATTAACTATTTTCAAATACGTAATGACTTTATAAGACAAATATTGCAATTTTCAGACGTCTAGGTAGATTACTACTAAACTACTCACTAAATCTAATCTCTATTTAAAAAAAAATAAATTATTTATTGGTGTTTTTTGTCTGTTTGTTAGTTTTCATGTATATCTTGCACCTATGTTGTTATTACATGTTGGGCACGAAATACAGTTAACCAATGTCATGTATATCAGGTACTTCTTAGTTATGATCGAGTCCTATCGACCAAGTTGCAATGTGGCCGCCAGTCTATTTGATTCGACATTGCGTGCACTATGTTGAGATAAGATGGTGGTTGGATGTAGTCAACAGGATACCCTGGACCTAGGTTTCGTGATACTTGGCACTTGTCAACAAGGTTTACCAGTAATCTTGAGGAAATTGATCGATAGGATTCGATCGGCACTAAGAAGCACCTAACATACATGACATTAATCACTACGCAGTGATCAATCAGTTGTAAATACATCTCAGTCCTACAGGAGGTCAGACGCGGCCCGGATAGCTCAGTGGTAGCGTCTTTGACTGTGAAGCTGGATCACACGGGGTCGAATCCGTTAGGCATCATCTGGTCCCTAAAGATTACGGGTACACCTTGCTGACAAGTGCCAAATAGCACGAAACCCTAGCTCCAGGGTTTCCTGTCGACTAATACCAACCACTATCTTAAGAAATATGCTATTTGAGCAACAGTTGGAGTTCTTAGTCAAATTACGCACGCAGCTGCTGAATCACTCATAATTTGGAGATGCGATGGAAGTGGATGGATTAATTTCTCATTTGCACACTGAGCTGGAAAATGATTGCAGCCTCCATGAATCATCGACAAACCGTATTTCAAACGATACAGCAGTCACTCAAGATCCGCCCAGTGGTCCAGTACTCTCCATTTCAGAATCATGCCCGGTAATGGATTCAAACTCCATTATCTCCGAAACAGTATGTGCTGACAGTGACTTATCCAGCTCACAAACAGTCGCCTTGTTAAATGTTCATAGAATTGTCGCAGTAACCGCCCATGAAACAGAAAACAAATCGAGCAGTACACTGAATCCAGCTGCTCCAAATGATCTCATCATTCAGCGACAGAAGTTTCTGACGAATCTAATTATCGAGATTCTCTTTTACCAGAAAATATGTCAGATGCATCAGATGATGATCAGAAACCTAATACAATTTTGATAGATACTGATTACCTTGATGATCCATTATCTACAAATGAGGTTCCCAATAAATTTGGTCACAATATTTCAGAAGAATCAAACTTCGGTTACCTAATATCAAGCGTCGTTCAGCCTCACCACTTAGTCACTTTCAGTCGATTCTCTGCTCAGTGCGACAAATGTGTTTTAAATAAATTCAAATTAATTGTAACTTGGGAATATGAGGATCCAACACTGTTTCGTGGGGGAGGATGAACCCGGAAAATTTAAAGTCCGGATATCAACACCGGATCTTCAAAAAAGGGGAGGTGTGTTAAGTCTCGATAAACACAATGAATGGTAACTTTGGGATCCTTTTATGGACCAATACTAAACGTATATTTTTATCGTATAACTGTTAAATAACTAAACTATTCATATTCATATCCCTCTTATTATAAACTTTATTTTGACCTATGAACCATTATTATACGTTTTACCATTCTTGAGTTATGCCCTGTCTATTAGTCACTGCCTCATACGTTCACAGTCACATTTGGCCAAATTTTGTACAAATGTTATTTTCTATTTCGTGCTACGTTGTGGTCTCTTTGATTGGTATATAAACTCAGTATGTTTGAAATATAAGGATTCATATTGCAGAGGCTGTGACTGGTGTTCTGGATTTAACTGGATGGGCTAGGCGGAAAGCGAGACCAATCAGGACTCTAGGCTTCTCGCACGTGTTTTATGCGCCCTTGGTCTGATCGATAAGTCACTGCTCTCCGATTGGCGGTCAAAAGATATAACAAGTACACACATTTATTTATCAATGATTGTTCACTATATACATATCAACATAAAAATCATGTAAAAGAAAATCAAAATAATAAACTGAAATGTAAATGAGCTACTTATTAAATACGTAGAATGAACTTCCACAAAATGTGAAAAGGGAACGATTGACAATGTTACAAGCATTGATATAAGACAAACGGAAAAATATCTTTTAAAAATCATATGAACAGACCTTTGAATGCTTTACATATCCCTTACAAAAAACTCACTGGGATCTTCTTAGCTACTGTTTAAATTCCAATATTTTGTTGAATTCACTGGATCTCAAGATTTTATTTTAAACACATACAGAAATAACAAAAATACTATGCCGGCATTTAGAAATTTTAGTGACGTTGTTACTTAACTATTTTACAGCACTTCATGACAATGGAGCTAGATTCTATATTTAGAAATTTTAAGAGAATATACTGTGTGTTAAGCTAACTTTCATTGGTTAGATATAAAGTATTTTATTTTGTCATCTAGTTGTAATCTTAATGATTTGAAGTGATTTTTCAATTAACATAATTACTTGGTCATTCATATAATGTACATCGATCGAAAATAAAATCTTAGTATATACTACTTATGCCTGTTACCACTCGTGGAGAAGCTTAGGCCGCCCATTGACACCCTCCATCGAACTCTGTCTCGGGCAATCCTTTCCACTTGTTTCCATTTGCTATTCACCCTTTTGATGTCTACTTCCACTTCCTGACGCATTGTGTTCATTGGTGTTCCTCTTATCCTCCATCTGTAGCTCTTCTACAGCTACTGCTGATTCTAAGTCCTGGTTAAGAAGGAACGTTGGGCATAGGGTCAGAAACCCCATCTCATGGAACAAAACGTTGCTAAAAAAACTAACCAGAATATCTGAATATATAGTCAGTGTCAAAATTCTATTCATGATAATGATCAATATTGAAGCTGGAATATCAACTTGTTAGTAGTTTTTCATTCTATTTATTTAACATTTATAAAATTCACATATATAATTATTCTCTTTTACTGTTAACACTTCTCACCTATCGTATATAGGCTCGTGTTATTACTGTTAGCTCAGGTGGAATGTTAGTACAGAAATTGGATCATGCTGATCCAATGCTTACAACTAGGCACAACAAATTTGATGGAACAATGGTTTATGCACAAAATAAACGTCAACAAGTTGTTATGACTGAAATGTGGTCTAAAAACTATCCAGAAATATTCTTCTGTTCAATGCATCCTGGTTGGGCTGATACACCAGTAAGTGTTACTGGCATTATAGTTTATAATAATTCTGATAAAAAGTAGTTGAATAACAAGTTGCTAAGCGTTCATTTATTGTTCTTTCACATCAATATAAACGACAATCATCCGTTTATCTATTACTAGATAATCTCTTTCTATGCGAGAGATCTCATTTAGTATTACTTAAACTACCGTTTATTAAATAAAAACGACTGATTTCATTCAGAAACTTTCGAATTCTCCTACAACCGAGATATTACCTAACAGGTGTTTCCTACGTTCTGTTATCATTCACTACTTTAATTCTTTAGATAAAGTTGATTACGATCTCATGGATAACGTGGTTCCCTTGAAGGTCTTAAATATATTTAGCTGTTTTGAAACTAATATAATACGATACTTCATATCAGCGCTTATTATCCACAACTAGGACTTATCCACGCCTTTTGTGTGATTTCATTCTGTGACCATTTTTCTCCGTACCTCTTTAGATATTCTCTCTTTTAAATATATAATTTCAGGCTGTCGCACTGTCTATGCCATCATTTTACAATAAAATGAAAAATAAACTAAGAACACCAGAACAAGGTGCAGATACAGCGATCTGGTTAGCAGCGGTACCAAATGTGAGAAGATTCCAAAACGGTTCTTTCTTCCAAGGTTGTTTTTAACAAATATCTCCTTTTTTCAATTATACCTCAAAACTTTGTTGTTCTTGTTTTCTTCATAGTCATCGTCATCGTTAAAAATCTAGCGCATAATTTGGCACATTCGATGCTTGAAGGCTAGGCATAGGCTTTTTTAACCCATTGCTTATCCCCGAAAATCTGCAATTAATCCCTGATGAGAACAAAAAAATAGAAAGTATGAGAAGACTCTCCACTTATAAGGTTTTTTCAGGTATAAAACAAGAATATTTTCGAGTTTATATGTGTCATTAATTGTTTAGATGATCCTAGAAACATGCTGAAATCAGTGACAACAGTAGTTGCTGTTCAATAAAGGTATAACACAATCCATCTTTTTTCTCTAGGACTTCAGAAAGTATCTATTAACCCCTAATTGTACAAGGTGTTTAAAGCCTTTTTCCAGCTTTTGAAGACTTTGGTGAAAATAATTATGAATTGTTTATTGAGGTATGTATTAGTGTGTTTAAGTTGTGAAGCCGCAATATATGAAAATGAAAGTTTTGGTTCCTTAGTACTTTTTATACAACAAGTTGATATTCACTGAAATTAACTTTTGGAATATCTGCATCGTAAAATATTTATGTTTTACAAATATGGATTCTCTTAATATATAACCTTTAAATATCATGAAAGTGAGTCTTTAATCCAATGTATACAGCTTTGCTGACTGACATTTTCGTTCACTGTCTTTTTACATACGTGTTGCTGTTGCATACGATGTAGTCGATTATTCTCATATATATAATGATTAAAAAATTGCAATCATTTTGTTCTCTCATTTTGCAGATCGTCAAGTAGTTAGTCAACACCTAAAATTAGCTTGTACACATTCAAAGGATGATGAGAAACGTAAATTCATGTCTAATTTAGCTGATATTGCAGCACCTTTTCTTAAATAAACTCTACCCTAGTCGGTAAAAGAAAATTATCACCGCTTATAATTAAGACAGATGCGTTTGGGTTTTATTCTTCATGCTGCGTAGTTATGAGCTATTTTTGTTTTAGTTAGTTTGTCTTTTTTTACTACAACTAATTTATTCTGTGCTTCAATTTATTTTATAACTTCAGTTTTTTTCTATGTGGATGTGTATTTAAATTCAGGGAGTATAAATAGTGTGTTGCTCAATTGTGATATTATATAAAGGATCATTTGTCGTTGTTTCTTTTTCCGTAAACTCTATAATGTGTGAGTTCTACATGACAATAAAAGACACTTTCAATATTTACAATTTAGTTTTAAATATTCAATCCAACTTTTTATATAGATTTATATCTCTCAGGGCTATTGTTTTACAAATTCTTATGGTATACCACTACTAATTTTCTCAATATATTTATTTGTTTATGAATATATATTTATATATATTGAATTCTAAGAATTAATCGCTCACTGTCACTTCCAAATTTGACAATCTGAAACTTTCATGCATCAGTAATCAGTTGAAGAAACCAGTTTCCCCATGGACCCATCCTCCGTTAATCCGTACAAATCTCGGACAACATTAAATGCAGACAGATCCAGAGCTTCAGTAATGTCTGGGGGACCTAGTGAACGTCGTCGTTTTATTTCAGTGTCAGAATCTAAGAGATGCACGATATTTGAAGTCTTCCTAATAAGAACATTAGTGAACAAAGCAAACAACAAGACTTGCCATTAATTCATGTATGAGGATGGTAGTGATGATGTCTGTGAATTTGTTTGAATTTTTCCGTATTTCATTTCACTTATACGGTTTACTAATCTAGGCTATGTATCCAGAAAGGCTGTATATAAAAAAATTTTTATAATCAACTACAGGTCTTGGTGGGACAACTGTTTTAAGGATTTTTTCAGCCCATTGAATCTACAAGGGTTGGTGCTCTTATGATAGAAATGATCCCAGTTTGTATTTTAAGGTCCATAGCATTTTAACTGTCTCGTCTTTTAGTCCTACTTGGAATAGCTCTGAATTTGTTGATTATGGTTTTTTGCATTATTTATTAAAAAGAAGAGTAGTCTCAATCGATAGGATCATTGGAATTCAATGTAACGTAATGGGAACTATGATGTCTACATGAAATAAGTGATCAAATTTTTAGATATTATGTTCTGACATCGACATAGATGTTTGCGACTACCTAATTAATTAACCTAGTTGTTACAACGCGACTGACGAACGACTTGGCCGGAACCAAGAATTGTTTCGCTGGCTCTACAGAGTACATTAGCAAATTGTCACATCATACTT